GACAGGCTGTGGGGGGGGGGGGGGGGGGGGGCGGGTTTGTGCCGAGCACAGGAAAATGGGCAGGGAGACGAAGCAAAAGCATCCCTGAAAGCCGGGTTACTCCCATAGCGAGGGTGAGGGTGCCGAGCTCCTCACGGCTGGGAGGCACGGAGCATACTCCGGAGGAAAGAGGAAACCAGCCTGGCTTACGGGGAAAGTGCTTTGAGAGGAACCGGGAGATAAGGCAGCAGAGACCTCATGGGAAGTTTCAACTGACCCCCAAGCCAAAGAAGGCAGGTGTGGTGAGTCCCAACCACATGCAGCTCACCACTCACCTCCTCTGCTTTTCTGCTATGAAACTAAGAGTGAGTCAATCAGACCTTAAGGAAATGTGGATGCTGTGCTCTGTGACTAGGGTAATACTATTCCTAATCCTATAAAACCAAAGCACCACAGGGCCCTGGCTCTGTGAAGGTGAAGCGCCCCAGCCCCCCAACAGCAGTGTGCTGGCAACCGTGTGGTGACTGGGGACACAGGCGAAGGGGCCAGACTTGGCCGCAAAGTCCGCCCTTAGGCCTGGCGGCACCAAGACCCTAGCCAAATGGCTGACCCCTTCCGAGCCTCAGTTTCCTCCTCTGTAAAATAAACACGTTCATAGTCTTTAGTCTGCAGGGCTGCTGTGAGAATGAAAAGCGAACTGACATGAAATGTTTCATGCCTAACCTTAAAGAGAACACTCCATAAGCATCAGTTGTATTATTATTATTATTATTACTATTACTATTATTATTATTGTTACATAGGGGTTTGGTTTAGTTTAGGGGTTTGGTTTGGAGTATATCTAAGTAGTGGAATCCTGTGCAACCTTTAAATATCTTGTGGTGGAAGACTATTTATTTACATAACAAGTCACAATACACAGACAAGTCGGGAGGCACGAAAGCATGCTACAGCAACATGGTTATTAGGATTTCCCGTGCACGATTCTGGGTAAACACAAATATCCATAAATGCAAAAACTGGAGAAACACACTGCTTTTACCTTTCTGTTTTTCTGTGTTTTCTAAGAGAAGGGAAGAAATTATTTAATAATAAAAGTAATAACACCACCTTCACTTTGGGCAAGGCTTTTCATTTTCCAAAGCTTTCTCATATGACCTTGTTTTTACACTAATTTAAGTTTTAACAACCGCTATTGAACTGTTATTCTGCCCAATGCCTTCAAGCCAAAATCCTGAAATCCATCTACCTAACCCCCAAAAGGACAATCTTTCCACTAAAAGACCATCTTTCATTGACACCTCTGCTAACAATCAAGTAGCTGGTTCTTCCCAATTGACGGAGCAGAGACAAATCCATTATCAGAGCCAGGGCTTTTTGCAAGTAGTTTTAAGAAGTGATGTTTGAGTTAATGATGCAATGTGGTAAAGGAGTATAAGCCATTGGTTAAATCAGGGGTCTGAGCCACACATCCCCAGGCCTGGCTAACCTTGTTTGGCTGTATGATGCCAAACATCTGAAATAAACATTTCTTCCCAATGCATGTCCCACATTAAGATTCCATGGGAAGACTACCAGCTGCTTCCCCCACCAGCCCTGCTCTCCCTCTTCCTTGGGAATAGCCCCTGATTATGAGCTGGGCTCACTGCCACCCAGATTGAAGGCCTGCATCTCCCAGCCTCCCCTGCGCCAGCCATGGCTATATGGTTACATTCTGGCCAATTAATGCAAGCAGATGTGTTTTTGCTGGACTTCTGGGAGGATCACGGAAGCCAACTTAACTCCAGGAGCACCTTTTTCTGTGCTTCTGCTTTTTCTTCCTCCTTCAGGCCTGATACTTGGCCGGAATAACTGGCATTTCAGCAGCCATCTCAGACCATAAGGCACTCCTGAGAATGCAAGCCATGTATTGGGATGGAGTGAAAAATGAGCCTGGATCCCTGATGACACTGGGATGTCCTAAACTCTGCAGACTTCTTTTCAAAGACGAATGAACGTACACCTTGTTTTAGCCACTGCTATTTTGGTTTTTAGGTTATGTGCTGTCAAACCTAAACTTACTGAGGATTATATATCATAGGGTGCTGTGCACCTTCCATTGCCAGTTAACAGCACGTGACTTTTAAAGTAGGTGACCAGGATAGTAAAGCATTTTAATTAATCACCTTTCCACTGAGCCTTTTATAACAGATGTTTATCACCAACTACTTTCTTTTTTCCACAAAGACAACCCCCATATGTACATAGTCTTTTCCCTAGCGGATCTAAGTCAACTAACACATAGGATTCCTGGAATTCTGCCCTCACATGACAGCAGCCAAAATCCAACTCTCTAGAATCCTTAATAAAAACCAAGAGAAGGGCGCCTGGGTGGCTCAATAGGTTAAGCGGCTGCCTTCGGCTCTGGTCATGATCCCAGGGTCCTGGGATCAAGTCCTGCATCCGGCTCCTTGCTCAGTGCGGAGCCTGCTTCTCCCTCTGCCTGCCGCTCCCCCTGCTTGTGCTCTCTCTCTCAAATAAATAAATGAAATCTTTAAAAAAAAAGGGGGGGCACGTACTGCACGGAGCACTGGGTGTTACACAAAAACAATGAATTGTGGATCACTACATCAAAAACTAATGACGTAATGTATGGTGACTAACGTAACATAATAAAATAAAATTAAAAAACAACAACACTCACCTCATGAGTTAATGTAACTAATGGTCAGATAAATTACCATTTAAATAAAAAGTTTTGCTCGGGCGGGGGGGGGGTGGAGAAAAAGACTCATACTGGATTTACACAATCCCAGGCAAACAGCCACCACAGACAAATGTCAAGGAGCTATCCCAACTTCCCTGTGAGGTTTACAGCAGGCGTCAATATCAGCACCAACCATGCAGCCCAATGGATTCCACACATTTCTGGGCATCCGCAACCCCCTTGAGGTCAAGGGTCAGACTGTACCACGTGTAAGTCCAACTCCCGCCACAGCACAGTGCTCCTGAGGGCTCCACCTTGGCAGTCTGAAAGCCCACTAAAGACAAAGAAAGAATAGGGTTTTGTCTCCCCAGTGACAGAATGACATTGAGGTCTCTTGCCATCTCCTACAAACAGCAGAACCTTAGCAAGGTAACTTTTCTTTCAAAAGAGCCTAGACTTCCAAACGCAAATCTCATGGAAGGTAAAACCTGGTGTTTACAGCTTGAAATTACAGCCAAATTTGAAACTTCCTGGAGGAAATGATTGACTTTTACAATTCCGTCATCCTAGCCCAAGTTTTTCAAAGGGCTCAGTACGTACGATTAGAGCACTTTGCCTACTTCTTCCAGCATAAGGATATAAGAAAAAATAAAGAACAGTCAGCTTCTACATCACATTTTCTACCAACGCATCTGCTTATTCTTACCCCATCAACCGAAGCAATGTCTAGGCAGAAATGTGAAAGGGATCACCAAAAGTTTTAATTTAAGACATTTAAAGAACAGAATTTGGGAGGAGGGATGAGAATAATCTTATTTTATGGAATCTTAATCCTTCACATGCATTATATATAATGTTCCATGCTTTTACAAGGATGAATGTTTCTTTCTTTTTTTTAAGGATGAATGTTTCTATTATTAAGAGAGAAAAGGGCTCAGGTAGAAGAGATAAGGGTAAGAAAGGCTATTTTAAAGTAAACTGGAAAGTCTATTTGTCTATGTGTGTGTCTGTATGTACAAACATATGTATATATACATTTACATATATATAAAATAGTTACTTTAAAAATGTCTGGGGGGATATGCCAAATGTAACAGTTATACTCCCTGAAGGAAAACATTATTGGTTATCTTTTTCTTTGTTATCTACACTGCCTAATTTTTGTACAACAAAAACATCTACTTAAATAATTTTAAAATGTATTTTTCCCCTGAAACAAATAATACATTATATGTTAACAATTTAAAAAAATAAAATCATAAGGAATTATAAAATAAAAATAATTATAATTGTCCAACAAAAACACACACACACAAAAAAACCCCTTATTTTTAAAAAGTAAACATTCATAGTATTGACAGAAAAATAAACCACATCTGGAACAGCTCAGAACAAAACAAAGTCCAAAGGAGTTCCGGGCTCAGTGCCGAAGGAGACAGAGAGCAAAGTTCCTGGGACCCACACCACCCCCTCCAAAACCCTAATGCCCCCTCTCCAGACAGGATGCTCAAAGTCATCTTAAGCATATCCTACTTAACAAATTCTATCCTCTCTACCACACAGTGCAGGCAAGAGAGAGCACAAATTACCGCACAAAAGCAGCATAGTCCCAGCGCCTGCAGATTCCTCCAAGGAAAGAGACTGGTTTCCACCAACTCACCATATAATTATGTCTAACACTTGCTTTACAATCCAGTTTATGGATCCTGGATGTTTCATAAACAGTTACTTCTCAGTTCCCTGCTATTAAACACTAGGTAGTTACAACAATTCATTAATAACACCCGCAGGCTATCAGGAGTCTATACTACCACCAGCAGGTCACGCTCTCTCAGTGGACACTGTCACCCGAGTTGGCTCCACAGCTCAAACAACATGCCTCTTCTTTCCTGTAGCCCCTTCTCTGGGGGGGGGGGGGTAGCTCAAGTTGGGGTGGTCAGGTAGAACGCAAAGAGGAATTATAATTACCTGCTGTTCCACCAAAGAGGGAAACCCCTTTTGTGATTACAGACACACTTCCCTAAAGTGGAAAAATCTACCTATATATATATGTGGATATGTATTGCACAGCATAGCAGAATTATACACTGCCAACCTTGCCTGCTCATATGAGCTCAGAATTATTCCAAACCCCTCGGCTGCCTCATTTTTCTCTTTCTAAACCAATTTCTCCTGGCACTCATTCCATCCCTACATCTCAACTCAAGGATGGAATGGTTTTAACCAAGAAGTTTCACTGCCCACTGAGATTCCTTTAGGAATCCACTCCCACCAGAGCCATAGACTGAGTATAAAAGTGCTCTTGAGCCCTCCAGCCCCATCTCTTCATACTCACTGTTACTGGACTTAAGGTCGCGGTGGATGATGGGGACAATTGCCTCATCATGTAAGTAGTTCATCCCTCTGGCAATCTGCACAGCCCAGTTCACAAGGATGTCTGGGGGAATCCTTTTCCCAGATAACACTCTATTCAAAGGCCCTCCACGTGCAAACTCCATGACCAAGCAGAGGTTGGGTTCCTTCAGACACACCCCCCTAAGGGCAATGATGTTGGGGTGCTTCAGCATGGCGAAGAGCTTGGCCTCCTGGCGAACATTCTCTATAGTCTGGCTGATGTCCTCATCGGGGTCATGGCGAGCTGCTTTCACGGCAACCTCATCCCCTATCCAGAAAGCACGATAGACCTTCCCAAAGCCCCCGATGCCAATAATCTCTTCCAGGGTTAGCTCCGCAAAATCAATCTCTAACACTGAGAAAGAGAAGAAAAAAAGAAGTCAAAAACATTCTGAAAATACCACTGAATCACCCATTTACCAATGGGTAAACATAGCAAGTTATCTGTTCACTTGGCTTGTCTCCCCACTATAAGGTAAGCTCCATCAAGGCAAGAAATGTGGCTAAGCTATTTTCTGTTGCATTATTCTTAATGACTAGCACATAAGGAGCATTCAATAAATAGTCATGTAATAATTTCTACTTGGAGCATCATGCAGAATGTCGTACCATGACAAACCATTTTAACAAAAGGGAACATAGAGGGAGATCATTTTTAGAAGACTTACTCATTTTACTGTGTACTAGATGGTAAGAAGCATATAATCCAGACACACAACAACCAAACCACAGTGTCAAAAGAGCCTTCGTAGCTGTATGATCAGATTAGGAAAACCACCAACTCCCACTGGACAGAATATAAAAGGGTGAGTAGGAAGAGATTCTCAGGGAAGGCAACACTGGGAACGCACCCTAAAGAATAAGTGGGAGGGAGAGTGCCTGGCTGGCTCAGTCGGTAGAGTGTGCAACTTTGGAATTTGGGGTTGTGAGTTTCAGCTCCATGTTGGGTGTAGAGATTACTTAAAAATAAAATCTAAAAAAAAATAAAAAAAAAAAAAGAATGAGTGGGAGGGATCTCATCAGGCAGCAAAGATCAGGACGGGGAAGGACAATCCAAGCAAAGGGAAGGTCCTGAGCAAGAACATGAGGTATGAGAATATACAGCACATTAAGAACTTCAAGGAGTCCAGTGTGGCTGGATTATACGCATTAGGATAGGAGGTGAGGCTCAAGGTCTTGCTGGGGTCAGCTAGGTTGTGAAATGGTTTTGAAGTCATTTTGAGAGGCTTGAACTTCATGCTGTGAATGATAGGACTCATGTATTTTTAAGTAGGGGAGAGTTATTAGACGGCGATTTAGAAAGGACATCAATTCTGGCAGCCATGGGGAATATAACCTGGAGGATAGGGAGCCTACTGCAAAAGGAACCACTAGGGAGGCCGTTGAAGTAGCCCAGGCACACAAGCACAGGGTCTGAACATCAGCAGCAGGTAAGACGAAGCGTGTGGAGTAAACTGGGAAGATATTTTCAAAACATGGTTCTACCACGACCTGGTGACTAAGACGTGCAGGAGAGGAGCCTCCCAGGGGACATCTCACTCCAGAAGTCACCTGCTCTACAGCTCCATCCCCGATGTCCCCAAGTACCACGCCCAACCACTCATCTCCTTTCCAATGCAGAGTATGAACCTAGGGTACCTGATTATATCTTCAGCGTTGTTTGGAAAGGCTTCCTTGGATAGATCATAATAGCTGCCAGTGATTACAAATCTCGGGCTAGATAAGGTGTTGCTATAGGAGTAAAGTGCTATTTTACGTTTCTCTCATGAAAACCCTGTGCTCTGTCTTCTCAGTCTCTTTGTCTTTATCTGGCTGACTCATACTCAACCGTCAGGTCTCAGCTTAAACAAAATCTCCTAGAGGAACTTTTTCTAACCCCCGCCTAAATGAGGTCAGGCCCCCATCAAACACGTCCATTAACAGTCTCTCTTTGGCAAGACCTAACAAGGTTTAATTACTTGTTCAGTGCCTGCTGTCCTGCGAGATTGCGAGATTCACAAGGGCAGAGTCTGTCTGCTTTATTCACCACTGTACTCACCCTGCTGAACATTCAGCAGGTAAGCAGAAGTCAAGTAAAATGGGGGGACAAGCTATCTCAGTAGGAAATGAACCAAACTCAGATCTGAAAAATTTTTTAAAAATGCACTGGACCTCCTGAAACAGAGAGAATATAGCCAATTTGCTAAAAAACAAACAAAAAACTAAGAAAACAAAGATATATTTCTGAACTTTTGGCAAGACCAAAAGAGGAACTGGCCACTGCTGGCTCTTCTCTTCCTTCCTCAGCCAGCTCCAGGATGACTACAACCTCCACTCACATGCTCATGGTGCTCAAAACTCTATACTCTTGCTTAATTAGAGTATTCCTATCTTATCTAGGGCTAATATTCATTTGTATTTTACAATGCAACTGGCAGTCTGCACAAAAGAATACAGAAAGATATACAACAAGTATAGCCCATCTCAACCCCCCAAAGTTCCAATTGTTCAAGCTCTCACCTCATCTGGCACTCCTCTTAAAGAATAAATGTTACAGCTGCTCCTGCAGAATAATGATCAACATCCGCTCTAAAATCCTCTAGCATATCTTGCAGTACAGAGGCCAGAAAGCTAAGAACTACATTTCCCAGACTCCCTTACCACTACAGGTCTGCTTTTGCCAATTAGATGCACAGGATAGGGAAGTCAGAAGTGAGATGGACACCATCTTCTTGCCGCTTCTCCTGACAAGCATGGCTGTGGAGAAGTGGGATTTTTCTGCATGTCGGTGTCTAATCATTAGCTCTGGGAAGATGTAGAAAGGAATGCTGCAAGGCCAAGTGGTTGCCTAATCTCTGGACAGCAACTACAACAGGGTGTTCTTGAAATGGACAGCTTCAATGTCAACTCCTGATTCTGTATGTTCGCAATTAGAGAAGTGGTAGCTTGCTGGGTGAGCCAGGTCTGCAATGCTGTGGGAGTTGTTCCTATAGGTCCAGCTAAGAACCCCTTCTAGGGGGCAACAATTCTGGAAGCATCCACTTTGCTGTGTTAAATCACTTTCTGCTTAAAATAGCTTAAGTGTTTCTGGGTCCTAAAATGAATCCTGATTACTAACTCTTGTCTTATCTCGTCTACATCAATGAGAAAAACAATGCGTATATTAAAGAGTGATAAGAAACCCTCTTGGAGAAATATGTAAATTATGTTAGGAGTCTCCTTGGTCATGGAGGGAAGGAACATTCACTTTTTCTAACAGCTTTTACACTGATGAAAAGATACCTGTCTCTTTAACAAGTCTGCATTCACACATCTTATTTCCTCAACTGACTATCTGAATTTTCCTTAAGGGAATTAACTGTTGTATTTTCTCTTACACCGTTCCTTCTTTCCTCTGGTCTGAAGCATAGTTGCGAACATACAGGATGTGTTAAGTATTTATTTAAATGCATAAGGATTTAAAAGAAGTGATGCTGAACCTGGGTGCTGAAGGGACAGCTCCTCAGATGGCATTTCCAAAGACAGAAAACCTCTGTGGGGAAGGGAGAGCAATAATCTCTCTCTGGGTAGAACAGAAACCCTCAGGTTCTTGCTAACTAGTTAAGGAAATATTATGACCAGCCTTCAAGAAAAGTATAGAACACAGCTTGCAAGCAGAGAGAAGACAGAAGAGCCGGGCCTGGGGGGAGGGTACTTTCTTTTCCTTTCCCTGTGAAGATGTCCCTCTGGGTAGGAACTAGACCTTCAGTTGCAGCTGAGAGAATGTGGGGCTCTCCTTTCCCACTTCAGTCAAGACCTGGTTTTAAGTAAGAATCAGGTCAAGTCACATTCAGCACATTTTTCAGTTTCTGTGGATGGATATTTCCAAGAATATCAGGAACAAAACCTTCTCTCTTTCATTTTTGCAGTAAGGATGTTATCCTCTCTCAACTGTATTCTTGAAAACTAAATGTATAGGCACATTCTGGTGGGTTTTGGACAAGTGAATGGTACATACCTCACTCATTTAAAAATCCCAAGTACACCTGAAAACACATCCTTGTATTTCTAGTGGATGCAAGGAAAAGAATGTAAATTAATAAAAATCTTAATTAATGCCCTGCTTGAAAACAGACACAATTCTCCTGTAAGAAAAACTTTTTTTCTTAATACCTAGGACTATGTCCCAAGATGATGAATTTGGAACTGTACATTTTTCCTCTTTCACTAAAAAAAAAAAAAAAAAGATGAGTGAGCTCCTAGGTTATTTATATTTGTCAGCTCCATGGAGAGCTAAACTTTCATATCTACATTGGAGGGGATAAAGGCACTATATAAATATTAGATGATTTCTAAATATCTATTATATTTTTTATTTGTCACAAGATTTGTTTTGAGTACAGTGTGAAACAAAATTTTCAATTTAAAAAGCAATATTTAAAACTAAAACTGAACGTTCTTACTTAACTGTCTGCTATTCATAATCTAATGTCACAATTCATAACCCAGAAGAGAAGTTCAAAAGGGTAACTAGGGAAAAGCTGTCAGTGGCTCAATTTCATTCCAAGTCTTTGGAGACAAGGTTGTCAATCACTTTATTTTCCGAGTGACACTAACTAAAATGGTGGACGCAGGACACCTATCAGAGCACCTGTTAGCAATTTCCCAAGTTCATCTTTATGAAAGCATTTGTGACTTATAAGCACCTCCTTATCATTTCTTTATCTCCTGGTATTTTTTTTAAAGTTGTATTTATTTAAGTAATCTCTACACCCCAGGCCCAGCTCGAACTCACGACCCTGAGCTCAAGAGTCGCATGCTCCACCAATTCAACCAGCTAGGCACCCCTATCTCCTGGTATTTAATACAGTATCTATCTTTTGCTAGGTACTCCAACTGGTTTTTGAATGGAATTAAATTTTCTGATTTATCAAGAATTAATTCCACTCAAGTTCGGAACTGCTGATGAGACTAAACAACTTACGAAGGCCTTCAAATGTCATGTTCTTCAAGTCAATTCTTTTAATAAGCATAAAGTACTTCCTACTTCCTTATCATCTGAGTTCTAGATACAGGAAGCTAGTCTATCTAAGGTAACTTTTGTCACAATAAAGATTTAAGTCCTGGGCACCCAAGGGAGAAGGAGCTGCTAACGTAGCACACTGTGGCCCCGGCTGGTGTTCGGCAGATGAGTTTTTCCAGCCCAAGTCACATTCACTCCTGACTGCTCTGACAGCTCGGGCACAGAGACGGGAGAAACGGAGTTCCTGCTCATGAGCCTCACACAGCTCTCCCACTCTTGACATTAGCTGTACAAAAAAAAAAAAAAAAAAAAAATCACAAAACGTCACCCATAAAGAACCTCAAACCTTTGACTTATGTATAAAAAACTGCAGCGTGTCTAATATGCCAGGCCATTCTTCCAGTTATCTCTTCCAGTATGTGACCAAGTTCATCTTCGGCGCTATTTCAGATACTACATTAGGACCCTTAACCTCCACCTTCCCAGTACTACAGCCAAAAAGATTTAACGCCCAGAAACCATTTAAAATCATTTGTTGCCTCCAGGCATTATAAAGATCAAAATGTAGAAACAGGAAGTTTTACACTGAACGAGAGGGAGATAGAAACAAAGGGAACTAAGGATTTGAACATCAATTTGATGGTCAAAACACCAATAAAGAAGAATAGAAAAATAAGGAAAAAGGTTATGCTTTTCATATTAAGTGATGGTATTTATTTTTTATTTTTTTTTAAAGATTTTATTTATTTATTCATGAGAGACAGACAGAGAGAGAGAGAGGCAGAGGGAGAAGCAGGCTCCCAAGGAGCAGGGAGCCCGATGCGGGACTCCATCCCAGGACTCTGGGATCATTACCTGAGCCAAAGGCAGACGCTTAACCATCTGAGCCACCCAGGCGCCCTTAAGTGATGGTATTTAAAGAAAACATCTTAAATAAAGTAACACAACTGTTCAGATGAAAATAAGTTACGGGACCGAAAGATAAATGTTACAAATGAAATTTAAAAACTAAATGCCTAAAGTTGGCCCCTGGCAACGATGTTTTTTAACTAACTAAACTGTAAAGTATACAAAATATGGAATAAAAAATAAGAAATATGTATTAACAATACCTTTTAGCAGGGAAGAAATTATGGAAATCATCAAATATGAAACAGTGTAAACTGCACAAGAAGGTATTTACATCTTCTTAAAACCACCTAGCAGAACTGATTAAGGGATTCCAATGGCAATTTAACTCCTTTGATAAAAACAAAGGAAATTTCATTGCAGGGTGTGGAACAGGGGGCTCCTGGGAAATTGGTGAAAACCAGGACACTGGAAGAAAGGCCCTGGGAGGGACATGGGCATGGTCCCCTTGAGATCTGGCAAATACCAAATATAGGCAAGGATCTAGGGTGAGAAGAAAGGAGAAAATGTATTATCTGAACAGCCTGGGTGTCAAGGGACTGGGACTTAGCCACTGCACCTTGTGCTCCTGATCTCTCATGGGGGAAGGACATACTTTTCCCTCTCCAATCATTTCTCCACCCATCATCACCTGCTTCTTCACACACTCGCACCCCTCTCAGCACCTCATTCAGTGAGACTTCTAAAGGTACAACTTCTGACACAAGACGGCGATCCAAGAAACCAACACGACATTTCAAAGACACTTCAGCCTTGAGTTCACACCGGCTTCCGGGACATGAGAAGAGCCAGCCCAGCCAGCCCTGCGCGAGACACCCCCATCTGCTTCAAAGCAAAAGCCCTGAAGGGGCGGGGACAGGCGGTCGAAGAGGTCGGGAAGGTCCCCGATTTGGGGACTAAGATGATGACAGAAACTACCAGCTGGCCTGCAATCCTTCCAGATTTGGGGAAGCGGGGAGTGCGAAACAGGGAGATTCTCATGCTGGGGCTTCAGGATGTGGAAAGCGGAAGCCACTGCTGAGGTGGTCAGATGAAGGTTAAGGAGCCCAAGCGCCTGAGGTTCCAAGCAAGGCCTGCGGCGTCTCTATCCTACCCATCGCACCCACCAGAGCAGCCCCTGCAGCCCGAGCGCGCGCGCGCACCCACTCCCAAGTCAATCATTCCCCACCCGCCCTGCGACCACCCGTAGGCCTCCAGCCCCCCACCCCCTTCCCCACCCGGCTCCGCGGCCCAGCCTTCGCCTTACACTGGATGGGCGGGTAGCAGCTGGGGTCCTCGCCGCCGTGCTGGCAGCGGCTGGAGAAGGCGCTGCGCGGGGTCACGTAGTTGCTGGGGAAGATGCCCACCCGCTGGTTCAGCTGCCCGGTCCACCAGCCCTCGTCGCCGGACACCTGCGAATCCTTGGACAGCACCTCCACCACGTCGCCCAGCCGCAGGGTCAGCTCGTCCTCGCCCGCCGCCTCGTACTCGAACACCGCCGTCCAGTAGGGCAGCGGTGCCTCGGGACCCAGCTCCCCCGGGGCCGCCGCCGCCTCCTCCTCCTCGTCCTCCTCCTCCTCGGCCCCGGCCCCCGCTCCGTCCTCCCCCGGCGGGGCGGCAGCGGCGGCGCTCGTCAGGCAGCCGAGAAGCGCTCTGGAGGGCTCCATGGAGCGGCCGATCCATAGGGTGCGGGGCTGCCGCCGCCCGCAGGAGCCACCGCCGCCTATTGTTCATGCGGCTCCGCAGAGCTGGGGGGACCCCCCTCCCCCGACGGCGGCCGCAGGTAGGGCCCGGGCTGGCGGGGCGGGGAGAGCCGGCTAGCTGGGGCTGGCGCGGCGCCGCGACAAGTGCGCCGAGCGGGAGTGCTCACCGCGGCATGGGGGGCGCGGCGGGCCAGAGCCCCCGCCTTCGTGCTCGCCCCCCCCCACCCCGGGGGCGGCCTGGCCACCTCCGCCGCGGGTGCCTGCTAGCTCAGCCGGTGCCCGCCGCCGCCCGCCGGCCGCCGCTCCCCTCTCCGCCCGCGCCCCGCCCCCAGCGCCGCCCGCACTCCCGGGACCACCTGACGCCGGCCTGGCTCCGCCCCAGCCCTGCGGACCCGAAGGGGCGGGGCCGCCCGGCGCTGGGCCCACCCTCCCCACGCCAACCCGCCCTCCCATTGGCCGCTGCCGACCGTCCGCAGGTTCCTCGCGCCGCGGCTGGGGCTGCCCCGCCAGCCACCGGCCCGCCCCTCTCCACCCCCTGCGCCTACGTGTCTTGCCCCCGGGGCCCGCCCCCTTTTGCGGGCTCTCCTCAACCCCAGGTCGACCCATTTCTCTCTCCCATTGGCCCGCGGCAGTTCCAACCATTGGTCGGTGGTACCTGTCCATTTCCTGCGAGAGTTCAACACCTCCTGGCAGGAGGAGTCTGCGGCCTCATTGGGTGCATCAGAAGGGATGGGTGGATCTTCAAAGGTAAGGCCGAGTCTCAGTTCCGACTGAAAAGGCTGGAGGAGGCCGCGCCCTTTGTTTGTTGTGGTAGGGCAGGGGGCCCGTTGGCCAGCACCTGTGCTCTTGATCCTGAAGTGAGCTTCTGAGAGTGAGAAGAGGAAAAGCGAGCCGGCTTGTACCTCCCCCGCCAGATCCCTTTCTTCTCCAGCTCCCTCTTACAGTTGGATTCTCCCCACTCTTGGATGTGCCTCTGCCCCGGTCCAACCAGGTGGATCAGCTTCCGCTCCCGGCCCCACTCCCACCTACGAAACCTTTCATCTCCATAAGGCCTTTAGGCCCACCGGAATGTTCTTTAGAAGCACTCTTAAAACTACAGTTCTCGCCTTTTCCCACAGCTCCCTCGTTCCTGGGTTCCTGTAAAAAGAGATTACAATACCGTCACTTTTCAGAACTCAGAGAGAATGAGAGACCACCTTTACTGGGGCTTCAAACTGAGGCTGGAAAGCTCAGTTTGAAAGTTGTCCGTGAAAGGGGGCTTGGGCTCTCTGAAGACAGCCTCAGTTTTTCTACAACTGTGGGTTTCTTTTGCTTGAGTGAATTGTACCTCAGATCATGATGACCTCTAGAAATCGGATTAAGAACCAAAGTAGAATATACATACAAGCCAATGCTACGTTCATGATCAAGGGCCAATCTTTTCCTACATCCTTTTGTTATCTGCATTTCTCCAACATTAAGAAAGAATAAGATAGGCGCGCCTGGGTGGCTCAGTCGGTTAAGCGTCTGCCTTGGGCTCAGGTCATGATCCCAGGGTCCTGGGACTGAGCCCAGCATTGGGCTCCCTGCTCAGCCGGGGTCGGCTTCTCCCTCTCCCTCTGTGCTCTCTCTCTCTCAAGTAAATAAATAAAATCTTTAAAAAAAAAAAAGTATGAATGAGATAAGTGGACCCTAATATTTCTTCTTTGCTTTAATCCTATCATGGTAATGTGGATTTCCAAGGAGAAGGTTTTCTGACGTTTCAAAACAAGTCAATGCTGAAAGATCTAGCCCAACCTCTACCAAACTGTGTCACCTTTTCCCCTTCGGTGGTAGGAATAAATACGATTTGTTTAGCAAGAGTTAGTGCTTCCCTGAGTATTTTCTGTTTAATTTTAGTTTGAGGTCGATCATTAGACAACCTGAAGACAGGCAGCTTGTAAAGATAATCAGGGCTAGCACCTTCGGCCCTGCCCCCGCCAGCTGCCTGATCTTGGGCATGTACTTAACACTGTAGTTCAGTCGGCTCCTCCTTTATATGAGGGGTGTGGACTGGAAGATCTGTGTTCTTGTAGGCCCCACATTCTGTGGTTTGAATAAAAGTATGGCTACACTGTATACCTAGGCATCCCACATATTTGGAGTCTGTGAAAGGTAAGAGTACTGTTCTGAAGAGCATCCAGTGTAGGTTTTGAGAAAGGACTTCTGAGTAAATGCCCTAAAACTAATGGTCAGATTCTTATTGTACATAGGATCAGCGAACTGGAAAAGATATGGATGAGTCTCTGAGTACATTCTCTAGGTTTTGTTCAATCTAGAACAAACTATTCCATCCCCAAGCAGAAGAGCAGGAGAGTGGGGGTAGAGGTTCTCCTTTTTTAAAAAGACCATTAAAAAAGGATTTTCTTTTTTTTAAAGATTTTATTTACTTATTTGAGAGAGAGAGAGCACACGCACACGAGCAGCAGGAGGGGCAGAGGGAGAAGGAGAGGGAGAAGCAGACCCCCCACTGAGCAGGGAGCCCAATATGGGGCTCGATCCCAGGACCCTGGGATCACGACCTCGGCCAAAGGCAGACACTTAACCCACTGAGCCATGCAGGCGCCCTGTGAAAAAAAGATTTTCTTGATAAAATTTTAATTTGGAGGAAAAAAGAATTTCTCGTAGACACACACACACAGAAATAGAAACAGAAACAAAAAACCAGGAAGGTAGAAAGTTGTCAGTGGTAGATCTCTTTCATGTAGTAGGATTATGAGTAACTAGGCAATTTTTATTGTCACTTTGCTTATTTGTAATTTTTTATGTTTCACTGTAGCTTTTGTGATCTCCATTCCTCTCCCACCCAGAGGAGGAGAGGAAAAAAATCCTTGATGCCTCAGGAGGAGAAGTCTAACTCCTCATATTATGTAAATCTTTAATACCATAGCATGTGTTTAGGACTTCGTGAAGAGTCAATTCATCAAACATTTCAAGAAGTCATTCAGTAAATATTTGTCCGATGGATAAGCACTAGGAATTCAAATGAGGGAAGATCCTTTGGGCTAAAGTTGTCTGGCAGGGTTTCATGGAAGAGGCAGAACCAAAGCTGGTCCTGAAGAGGTATGGGGTGGAGCAGGGAAGACTCTGCATGAAGGAAAAAAGGGAGAATATGAGCACAACCACACAGGTGGGATGGAATATGGAATGAGTAGGCTCATCTGAATGGAATAAAGGGTGAGGAGGAACTGAAAATAGGTTGAGACCAGATTCCAGAGGGCCTCATAATTGCTTGAATCATACTAATAATTGTTTAGTTGATTATTTGTAATTATTTAATGCCCAGTTTGTTCACCATAAGGGTGGAAACCTGTCTGTCTGGTTCTCCACAATCCTCCCAGCACCTAGAGAGCACCTAGGACATAACTGGCTCTCGGTACACGTTTGTGACTGAGTGGTGAACGTGAATACCAAGCGAAGAAGCCTGGCTTTTGTTTAGCAGATAAAAGGTCATCACTGAAAGCTTTTGCACAGGGCTGTGAGGTGATGAAATATCCCTTCACCTAGGACTAGAAGAGATGAGGAATGCATAGAGAGGTGCTTACGTTGGGCATTGAAGGATGGGTGTCGCTTGCAGAGTGGAGACTAGAAAGCATGCACATGGAAATTTTTATTTTTTATTTTTTTTAAGATTTTATTTATTTATTCATGAGAGACAGAGAGAGAGAGAGAGAGAGAGGCAGAGGGAGAAGCAGGCTCCCAAGGAGCAGGGAGCCCGATGCGGGACCCGATCCCAGGACTCTGGGATCATGACCTGAGCTAAAGGCAGACGCTTAACCATCTGAGCCACCCAGGCACCCATCACACATGGAAATTAATGAGATAGACGGCAGTGACAGAAATACCAGCCTGCAAAGAGGAGAGAGTGCCGAAAGGGAGTCGTGGGAAATGAAACTGACTAAATAAAAGAGGGGCAGATAGCAAAAGACTTTGAAAGCCAGAGGGAATGACCAAGATTTTTCCACTGTTAAGTTCTCGAGCAGTGGTTGACAAATATCACCCCAAAAAGGACCATTTTCTCTACCACACTGAAAAGTCTAGCATCAGTGGTACAGCTGGGCACTAGACTTTTACACCAAATCATGATTTATCCTGGCTCTGTTCATTAAAACAGACTTTGGGGGCACCTGGGTGGCTCGGTTGAGTGTCCGATTCTTGGTTTCGGCTCAGTTCGTGATCTCAGAGTCCTGAGATCGAGCCCCGTGTCGGGCTCCCTGCTCAGTGTGGAGTCTGCTTGAGAGTCTCTCTCTCCCTCTGCCCCTCCTGCTTGTGTTCTCTCTCTAAAATAAATAAATAAATCTTCAAAAACACACACACACACAAAACTGTGAGACTTTGGGCAAGGTGCCTGTTTGAACCTCAGTTTCCTCTTGCTAAATAGGCACAGCAATAGAAACTCCTTTTTCTAGAGGTTTATAGGATTCAAAGAGACAAGCCATCCAGAAGCTCTTAGCATGCTGCTTAGAGCCAGCTCAATAGTCAACGTATTTACTTGCTTCTTTCTGCTGCTCGTCACTGTCAGAAACACTGTTCATCACACCCTTGAAAGCTGCAGAGGCTTCCTGACTGGGAGGTCAACTATGGTTTTTCCCTCTAGAAAAGAGAAGGGAGGGAAAAGGAAGAAGGGGAAAGAAGAAGCCAAGGGAGACAAGAAGGGAGTTAGGATGGAGGGAGGGAGGAAACAAGCAGAAGGGGAAAGAAGCAGACCGATGGTTAAGTCTGGGACCTTGGACTCTGACAGAAGCGGAATCCATACTGGCTGTTTGCCATTAGGCAAGGCAACCCCCTGGTGACCCAGATCGCTCTTTAGGAAACTGGGGATACTAGTACTTATCTTCCCGGGCTCCTGGAATGATAACATGACACGATGTCTCTTACATGCTCAGCACACAGTCTATCAAAGTGTAGTTATCATTATTATTATTATTTGAGCCTAAAATATGATTTGTTAAATGAATGTCATGTTCTCTTCAGTTCTTTTGGGAAATTCAGTAGTAACCAGCCCCCCATCCTGGGTCTCACTTTCTGCAGTTTTAGCTACCCATTGCCAACAGGAGCAGGTGGTGCTCCTACTGATGTGTCATCAGGAGGTCAGTAGTAGCCTAATTCTCCATCACAATGCTGACATCCTTCACCTCACTTCGTCTCACCTCGG